ATGTTTGCATTGGAATTAGTGATGTGTCATTTATATGATACTTGAAAAATTTTAGCATACATTACGTACTGTACGTATAGTTATTTTCTTGCATCTGATTGGCTGGAACAAGTGATCAGCAAAATTTTACTGCGCGGCACATTACTGATTAAAATTGTTGTAATTTCTATTGTATTACTTAAAAAAATTTCGTTACAGAACTTGATATTCTAGTACCACTATAATGTTAAGTTAGTTTGCATTGAATTAACATGAGTTACTGAAAGAATTCTATTACAGGACTTACTTGCTATTCAGATTAAGACTAGTTGGAATTATCATGTTTTCTATCATGAATTAATATAAACAAAAATCTGTTACAAAACTTATTTACTATTCTGGTAAATATAGATATTTCTCAACATATGTCTGTTTAAATTTGATAATTTTTTTTTTTAATCCTACGTACTTGCAGAATTAAAATAAAAAAATTTTGGACATATGGGTGCTGAGAAATTATCGTTTAAAATTTCAAAAAGAAAAAATTAGCCGATTTTAGATTTTCTTAAAACTTCTAGTGAAGGTTTCTAATGAACTTTTTTTTATTTAAATTTGCAAATATATAGAATCAAAATAAAAACGGCTTACTAAATTTGATCGAATGGTTACAGCGAAATCTGCTAAAATTCAAAATTTCGAAAGAATTTTCAATTTAATTGATTCTGATTGGTGAATATTTGGGCTCCGGAATCAGATCGGAAAGGATCTACAGTAATTACTAATCTATCCTGTACAAAAAGAAATCGACCAATCAGATTGTTTAAAAGTGAGGCACGGTTAGTAATACATTGAATCTAGTGATGTGCCATTTATATGATACCTGAAAAATTTTAGCGTACAGTACGTATAGTTATTTCTTGCACCTGATTGACTGGAATAAGTGATCGGCAACAATTTTAGCGCACGTACGTACGTACAGTACTGTACGCGGCACATCACTAATTGAAACTATTAGAAACATAGAGCTCAATAAAGCTTTGCAACCGTGGTTTCAATACGTAGTTTGGGAATAGAGATACAAATTATTCAGTGTTTCGGTGCAATTCTTGGCAAACCACATTAAATCACATAATTATAATTACTTTTTATTAATTTAGTGTAACTAATAAGCTTTCAATGAACTAAATAACAAATCCCATATCCCTGATATATGACCGCGAAGTCAAGTGACAATTTCCAAGACGAATTATAATAACAATAATTTTTATGAAGTGTTATTCAGTTCTCGTCTACTTATGCGATCAGGCCTTATCTTATGACTTGACATCAAATTTCTAAAACTTTTGCATATCTGAAAATGCAGCAGTGAACTTCTCATGTCCATATTATTTAAATCGTAATAAAACAGTTTATAAACTTTAGTAGATTATTCATCGCCAATATTTTTGTTTATTTAATTTATAAACTTAGCAAATTGTAAGGAGGATTATTAAGGTACCGAATTTGCCAAATATATCAAATTATATTAAGAACTATAAGTTTTACAAGGATTAATGAATGAAATATTCAAGTTACAGTCACGTTATATTTCTTAATATATGTTCATAAAATGAAAATATGCAAAAACGGTAAAAAATGGTTCATGAAATTTGCAATTTAGAAATACTTTAACAACATCTCTTAGAGATAATTTGTATTTAGAATGCCAAAGCTTAAACAATAAAAAAAAAAGACAAAGTGTCAACTTAGAAAAATATATTTATGCATGACTATATTTATGGCCGAAAACAGCAATGTTGAAAATGGAGCACTCTGTTGTGGTGGATTTTCTACATCTTGAATTCTAGTGAATTGGTGCCACTAACTAGGTCATCATATTGTTGAACAGCATCAGTGAATAGATTTGCAGTATTCTGAGGTCTTTGAAGTTGGCCATAAACGGGTTGTGGTCTGCCAATATTCTGGGGTCTTTATAGTTGGCTGTTATTGTTTTGCGGAAGGGTGCCAGTTTGAATTGTGGGTTGGTTCATAATTATAATTTTACATAAAAAATTTTTTGGAGAAAGGTAAAAAAACTAAAGTTTTTATATCTTTTTTTAGTGTTTATATGAATAGTTTTACTGTAAATGATCTTGGTGGCTCTAATTCGGTTACCCATTTTAGGGAACACTAAGCTTACTCTGTCTCGTTAAAAGCAATAGATTTTTTTCTTGTGTACAATACAGATCTAGCGCTATTGAAGTTATGATATACTTTTTAGATATGTAATGATTAGGCAATAAAGCTGTGTAATGTTAAAACTCTTATAGAAAATCTGGATGTTTTAGATACGCCAAAACTTACTTATCTTATATTTTAATTTGTCGACAAGAATGTTAAGACGACAAATAACACAAAACTTAAATGAGACACGATTTCAATAGGTTTGTTAGTTGAACTAGTAACAGTTGCGGTGGAAACCTATTAAGGTGTGCACCTTGCATTACTGGATCATTTTGTGTTATAACAGATTTCTTTTTTTAGGTCAAGAAATGGCGACAACAGTGAATGAATATAATTTTTTCGAATAGAGAATTTACGTTGCAATTAAGCATGCATTACACACCAAAGATATGCAAAGTCGTGAAGACTCTATTGTAAATAAAATAAAATAATATATATATTTTACAGCTAGCATTTGAAATCTGTATTTTGAATATCACTAAGCATTTTTAGTTAAATCTTCAAATGCACCTATAAATGCATTTCACATGCGTTGAAAACTTTACTTATAAAATGAAGATGATTGGTTATAATTGATTTTTATAATAGCGCTGAAGTTTTTAAACTATAATATTTTTAAAGTAAAATAACTTTATAAAAAAAAAAAGCTCTATATTTATGCTCTTTAGGTTTTAAAGAATTTTATCATAGAAGTTTTTTTTCAAAAGAGATTATTTTTTAAAATTATTAATAAACTGTAAGAATTATTTTGTGATTTAATTAGGTGTTCTATTATTAATAGACTAGCAAGAACCCGTGCCGTTGAGCACGGGTAAAATTAGTATCATTTATAGTCCAAAAACGTTTCCGTAATAGGAAAATTATCTTAAGTTGAGTCAAGTTGATAATACGAATTATCCATATGTCCGTGTTGTTACTAGATTAATAAATATTCTTTATTCTCATGCACTAAAATTCATGCGAATAAAATGAACTTAAATGGTAAATATTAATGAACTTTTTAAATGCTCAAATTGTACTATGCACTAAATTAATGCGTATAAATAGTAAATATTATAAACTTTGATAGCTTAATATTCATTGTATTCACGATCTAAAACAAATTATGAATAGTAAATAAAATTGGAATAATTTATTTTGTATACTTAGGTTAATAAATTGTTTTTTATACTCATGCATTAAATTATTGCGAATAAACTAATTCACAGACTTGAATAACCTGTTTTGAAACTTAGATTTATAAATGTTTTCAATAAATTACTGCGAATAAAATGAATTAAGTGCTATGTAAATAATCATGAATGTGATCTAGATAAATACTAAGTTTAATATAAATATGCAGTATATTCTTTATACTCACATGCACAAAATTAAACATGTAGTAAGTATTCATGGACTTGGGTAGTTAATTAGAGTTGTTATACTTAGATGTCCCAGTTCAGCTTCCGAAAGCTATGGCTCTAGCTTGAACTATCTATTGGAGCACGGTATTGTGATGTGGTTTCAAAGTCATGTGATTTCTAATAGTTTAATATGCGTCTCCATTAATTCTAAACTACAGCTTATTGACTCAGTTATATTCTGCAACTAAGCTAGGTTAAAGTGAACCAAAGTCCATACGCATTATTATATTCATACTCGCGAAATTAGGTAAAATCCGGTCACCCAAATAGAAGTAGTCATTATACGGTTGAAAGTCTAGCCCGGATTATCCGGATGATTCATATACAGCTAACTATCTATTCTTGTATGTTATAACAGCCTTAAGAGATTTGTGGATGTGATTACTTTTTTTTATTAAGAAAAACAGACAACGAATAATTATTTATCATTTATTGGGTAAAATTGGCAATTGTGGTTCGTGGATTGACCTACGGACTAGCCACCCAGGTGGTCATAATTCATTCCGGATTTACATGATTATTTGGCCTATTGGAGATAAGTTCTAACCTCATCTCCAATAGACCAAATGATCTGCAAATTTGACCAGAATTAGATTGTTCAAAAAATATAGATCGGTTATTTAGTTGATTATAGACTAATTTAATGAAAAATGAATATTTTATATTAGTATTCGATTCTGACAATTATCATTAACTTGCAGCATGAATAAACATAATAAGAAATGATAAATGATCATTATCAGTTATACTTGCTCCTACTGACTATATTAACATGAATAAGAAATAAATTAAATAAATGGTAATAATGTATCTTTTAAGATACATTATTTACCTTTTATTAAAGTATTTAAAAGTACTGTGGTTAATAAACAAAAGTATTGCACACATGTGGTATGTATTACCATTTCTGCATTTGGATGCATCAAGCAATCAATATATAAACTTAGACAGAATATGCACCCAGAAATAGTATTGCATCATCAGTTTAAATCATGATGCGAAGTATTAGCCTGTGCCCACACTGTATAAAGCTTAGATATGAAGTTTAACACAAAATGGCAGGGTTTTACGTAGATCCTGCAACGATTCTCTATGCCATGCTATATTAGTAATTCTATAATGCTTCTAATTAGTACTGGTCAAAGGAAATGTCACACAAAATTTACTTCATTAACTTTATTAATTCCAATGATCTTTTTTTATAAATTTAGTATTTTAAAATACTTTTTACATTAAAAATATTCAAAGCAATATATTCTATGTAAGTTTAATCGTAAATTCAACTACTATATTTATTTTATAAAATTTTTTATTTTAAGTAACTATTTTATACTTTTTATAAAGACGATAAATATAATATTATTTTAGTTTTATAATTAAGATGTTTATTAATTTTTATTGTAAATAGCATGTTTCTTTATTTGGTTGAAGTGATGATGAATTAATTATATTCGATGAAGTAGTTGTGTTTATACTAGGTAAAGTAGATGTATTTGTTTTTACTCTTTTTGCAGGACGCTCTGATTCTTGTTTTTTATAGTTGCTAGAATGTTCTATAACAATATTGCTAGCTCTACATCCTTTTGTTGTACATTTCCCTGTTTTTGCTATATCCTGTTTATATATTGAATACATGTGATTTTTTCTTATCTCATAACAATTAAAAAGATTTTTAAATCCTTTGCTATTATTTTGAGTAGTATTTTTAAGCAAATCATGCTGAATTGGATCTGAAGATTCAAATAATTCTTCAAGAAGATTAATCAATTCCCATAAGCATTCTTTTCTGATTTTATATTTTGATCAGTAGGATAAATAAAATTATCTCCTATATATTCACTAATTGCATAATATAGTCAGGACCCCGGACATCTCTAATATAGGTCATAATTGATCTGCATAAATTTAAAGGTTTTTGCTACCCCTAAAATCAAG